ATTTAATGTGTCATCATAATATTTTTATTATTTGAATGTAGCATTTTTTCATTTTTCAAACACACCTATTATAAAGCTTTGAAGTCACTCCACTATGGATGCTTATTTTCCTCATCTTCTTGTTGCATTCCTATTTCTGGCTCTCTGCCAGTCTTTTGATTGTGATTGCGGTTATTTTCTGTATTGGCCTTCCTGTTTATTTGCCTACAAGATTGCTGCTGTTTCCAACAGTATCCATGGGTATGGAGCATTTGCATACTTTGCTCCAAATTAAGTGAGAACTGGCTCCCTTCCCCAAGATCTTTGTTTATATAGCTTGTCCTTCACTGGTAGCATTATTGCAAAAGTGGAACAGAAGAGGTCATAAGTACAATTCCAGGTGAAAAACATTAGATGTAAACATTGTTAGAAAAGTTTCAGTAATGTTCTTTGAATAAACATTCTTCACTTTCTTGCATAGCTTTAGTTGATTTCCAGAATCCTGGAATTACTGTTTTAGAAAACCTATCTAGTTTTACCATTACTTTTGTGGAGTGGATTTGATCAAGTCCTTACTCTTCCATTCTAGAAATGTCCACATTATTATTATTCTCATTTCCTGCACAAATGAGGCTCAAAAGAAACTGCCCAATGGGCCAAGTCAATATTTCAAGTGTGATTTCTCAGTCCAGTGGCCATGCTTTTTCTGCTACAGTGGGTACTAGGGTTACCCTCATCATCTCTAGCTTATTTCGAATAACTTTTCCTTTTGACATAAAATGACTATTCTTTTCATTTTTTGTTTGTAGTATTTCATAAGATTAATTTTTCAAACAAAACATAACCCATTAGTATAGGAGATTCAGTGTAAAGTTTTCTTAAAAGATAAATTTGAAAGTATCAGCTTTAGAATGAAGTATGAAAATGTTAAAAATCTGGCAACATCATTCACTTACATAGCATTTTAGGCAAATTAATTGACCTATATGAATTTCTTCCTTTATAATTGCACTGCTTATGATAAGAATCAAAGAAGAAAATATTGATAATTATACTTTGATGGACTATTAATGGTGACATTATATTTTTTATAATAACGTGCTATGTGTTATAAAGAAAAACAGATAAATTATCCACCAAAACCAAAAAAAAGCCTTAATATTTTACAATTCCATGGAAACTTTGACCTCTCTTTAGACCATTAATGTTTTATTGTAAAATAACATGACTTTTGAAAATGCAGATAATCTGCATTCTTTCAAATAGAGTTTTGACATTTGCTGCTAATGAGTAAGACTATCATCCCTTTCTCTGTAAAATAATCCTAACACCAACCATAGTATAGCTGCTCAATGAATGATTATCTGTATAGAAATTCTGAAAAACAGGAGATCACTAGTCAGTTGAATAAGCCAAATTCAACTGGTTCCTATATTATTTTGACAGAGTAGTTATGAAATTGGAGTAAAAAAGAATTTCTGTATCTTTTAACATTGGAATATATAGTAATACATGTCCCCTTTCCCCACATGGCATCAAATAGCTAGAACTGAGGCTAAAAAGACTGCACATGTGCTGTTTTCCACAGTCCTCAATACTTCCTTGAGTGTCATATTTGATCCACTTCACACAAGTTTGTTTCCTAGCCCCACTTTGTGACTCAGTTTTAATGTGTTATTATCTTTGAATGAAAGGTCTGTTCTTTATCACCAGCAGCCATCTCCATGCTGAAACACCTAATAAATGTTGACATCCTTCAAAACCAAACTCAGTTAACACTTTCATTTGTAGACTGCCCTCACAGCACTTACCAAATATAATTATCGTATACCTTTTACACAAATTTATAGTTGTATGTCTTGCTTAAAGTGTTGTAATTTTAGGTTCACTTGGATTGTCTATGAAATGAATTTCCCAAGAGCATACTGTCATCTTCATCTCTGTAATCTCGATGCCTAGCACAGTGGCTAGAAGATTCCAAGAGGTCTCACGTGTTTAGTCAGCTGTAAGCAGCAAACAATTCATAGGGCTGGGTTACATCCCAAATCTACTGATGTGTGGTCCAGGATCACCTCAATTGCTTTTGTATTTCAAGTTTCATCTTTGATGGTATTAATTCCTTAAGATTTAATTATCTGACCTTATGAAGGGTACAAGTTTCCCCTGCTGTATGTTTCTTAGCATCCTATTCTCACAATTTATGTTATTATCTTTGCCTGACTCTCTCCCATCAGAACTTGATTTCCTTAAAGAAAACAGCTGTTTATCTCTACATTCCTATCATCTAGCACAGTACCTGACACAGTGTAGAGCTTCAGCAAATGTTAGAATTTAGTACAATTAAGTGAAATTAATATTTGGAATTTATTTGATTGAAATGTGGCTGTAATGTAATCAAGTCAGATGATCGCTCTTGTTGGTCACAAGAGCTAGATAGATTTTAGAAAACTCCAACAGAAGGTCTTAACAAACAGGTATAATGAAATTCAAACAGATGGTCAGCAATAATGTCAAGTCCATTCTTATTCTGATTCTTTAGATAAATATTATGGTGAGCTTTGACATGGATGTAGTTCGATAGCCAAAACAATCATCATTGACTATATTCATTTTTATGAGAGCCAAGAAATCAATGAATGTGACGGTTCAGCTAGTTTACATGGGTAGTTTTATTTAGATTGAATAAGTCATTTGGTTGGAGGATTTTAAAATGATTAATTTTGTTAGGTACTGAATCATTTTTTAGGAAGATGCCTGTTTATTTGTAGGAATGTAATTTACTTTGGTTTTGTCTGGCCACTATCTGACACAAAAAGATTTCACCTCACATGGTCTTTTCTGTAGAATTCAGATAGTTTTATGCCTACCATTGAAATAATTTTTCTATTGCTATCTATATATCTATTGCTATTAAAGTGAGTATAAGTATTTTGTACTGTAATCTGACTTTGTGGTTATAGAAACAATAAGGAATGTAATAGCTCCAAAGGGCTTTTAAAACAATCCCCAAACTTCTCCTCCCAAACAAGCCAGAGTCTGCTGAGATCAGAAAATAAATTTGCTATGTATTATTAATAGATATGAACAAACTACTATCATTTCAGAATTTTCATTCTGTTTTCTATTTTACAATTTTGATTTTAAGTGCTACAGGTCACCAGATACCAGGTGTTTAACCATTTCCCCTTTTAAAAGTGATTCATTTAAAAAAGGAAACATCTTCAAAAATCTGAGTTGTCTTGCTAGCACTTGGTATTTTAGGTGCTCCTACCAAAAAATGTTTTAAAACAGGGCAACAGTAGGCTCTACTCATAATATGAAGAAAGAGTCACACATTCCATTTTGTTATTGAATAATATTAGTTTTATTATTATGATAGAATACAGTATAACATAAAATTAAGAGCTTTTGCTAAACTCTGTAAAGCAATACATGCATCTGCCATAAACAATCTCAACTCATGTTAGGTTTTATTGCCACTTCACTGCACTAAAGTGCAATAAACATTCAGTGTCATCTTTTAAAAAGTTTTCTAGGGAGTAAACAAGAACTGTCCTCTATAAGAGTGTATCTTCATTTTCAAGGAAGACTTGACTACTATTACATGGTTTAGCAAAGCACTGTATAAAAGCTACATAGAATAATTTGTCTTTGATAAATTGTGCAATTAATTTATACAATAGAGTACTACCCACATATACTAACAAACTAAGAAATGATAGAAGTGCAGTCATTGCATAGCAGAAAGCACACTAATAAGAAATATCCACATCTAATGAGCAAAATACAAACCGTATGTTAGCCATGAGGAATCTGGAAGATAAAAGGCTCTTAATAAACACATTAGGTTAATGTCGAAAAATAACAAGATAAACAAAAACATGGAAGTTAGAGCCATATTTTATTTTGTTTTCTATACATGATATCTACACATGATACCAGAGGATGAGATGTCCTTGGTTTAGCCTTTATTGGCCTAGCTCATTGAATTTAGGCAGGACCAAATCAAGCAACAAAGCACATTTAAAAAGAAAACCAGAGTTTGTTTAGGAAAACACAAACTATGAATTTTCCTACATCATTGGATAGCAGCTTTTTGAGAAAAACATTGCTCAAAACTTGGGTATGGATCCCAACTGTCTTATTTGGTAATTATGCTGACAGCTTTATGTTGTAATATTCCAAACATAGTTAGAACATGACATGTGGATTCTGGATACTAATTTTAAATATCTCTGAATTTCTATCAGACAAAAGGAGACTTCAAAAATACCTTCTGCATAAATATTTATCTCTAAAACATCTGGGAAGTAATGAAACAGACTAGAATTTTCATAGGGAGTATTAATGGACCTCTTGTAGTCAAAGCCCTTACATAGTATACCTACAAATATATTGCTACAGTATAAATGAAATGTAATAATATTACTCAATAAAAGCTATTCCCTGTACATTTGTTCATGTATTGTTATATTTAATGCTACATATGGTACAACACTTACTGAAATAGTTGGTATCAGCAAAGATAGCAATAATGTACAGTTGATTTTCTAGCTCCCACTAATGC